AACATTATAGTTAAGCATAAATGCTTGATGCTAATTTCGTTACTTACGTGTGGGTTAGTAGCTATCATTGTTAAGTGGGATACGTAAAATTTAATCTTTACAAAGGGAACCAAAAGGATTATGTCTCCAACCTCTGCTACAATATCGAGTTGATGTGTAGCGGATATAGATCCCGATCTTCTTCTCCTTAACACTTAGCTCTCAAGAGGATTTCGATTATTGACATCCGTTTTACCAGGCGGGTCACTTTCTGAAGCCGATTCCTGGGTTTGTCTCTCTTCTTTGCCATCGCCTTTTCTTAACTATTCTTCGCCCCTGAAGCGTACTTTTCTGGAAATACTTTTTTCTATTTTTCGAATTTGCGTCCTTGGTCCAAGCTTATTCCTTGGCTGTTCAAGCAAATTCCTGGATTTCTCCAAATTTGTCTAAACATCAAATAGAATTTTAACTGAAATTTCCATCTTCAATCTCTTGCTCATTAGGTTCATTTTGGGAAAAATATCCAAGGCTTCTCTGATCTGACATTATTTTGTATATAAACCTTGTAAGGGCAAAATTTCATTTGTACTTCACTTACTGGCGTGACCAATAAGCGCAGTGGATTCCGCTATTTACGATATTTACTTATATTATTATTATGGAGTCGCTGGTGATATTTAATTTTAATGTGCAGTGTTCATCCCTTCTGTCAAATGTAGTTCTTTAAAAAAACAGCCCTTGGAGCACAAAGCCTCCAATCAGTTTATATTATTGATCTCTTCTTTAATTATATTAAAGTAAATAAGGAATCGTGTTCCTGTTTTCAGGATCCCTTGCATATTCCATTTTATCAGTGGGTTTTACAGCACCCTGACCAGTATACAGAAGGGTAAATATACCATCACTTTAAAACTGTATCTTTTTTTTCTTATTGATTACCGTTTTGTCATCCCCCCTCACAACCGGTATGCCCCATTATATTAGTTACATTCGGACACCCGTTCCTGATAAATACCCCAGGAAATTCATGGTTTATTTTTCATAGCCTTAGAAGTCTTATGAGTATATTACTTACCCCTCTTAGCCTTAGCTTGCAGTTTTCATGAGACTAGATAGTAAAGATAATTTCGAAAGGAATTTCCTTCTGATTAGCCTTAAGGCTTTTCATTGAGGGAATTGAATCTAGGTCAGGAAAAGGTAACTGTCCCTCTTCCCCACTTCTATTCTGAATTTGACTTTTTCATCAATCAAGTTTGATGATACTAGAATATCGTAAAATTTTTATTTTCAATATGATCAAAGGGCAAAGTAGTCATTCAGACATCCTGTGAACATTTCCAAACGACATGATAGAAATTTGAATACCTTCTTTAACTTGCTTGTATAGAAATCAGCTAAACTATGTGATGATAGAGGGCCATTTGGCAGAGTATATAATTGCCAATAGATGCAACCATTCAAGAAACATAAGAAGTTTTTCAAGATATGAAGACCAAGATGTTGTGGCCTCTGGTATGGTCGCAGTCTCCTTTCGATGTATAGAAATGGGT